CCATCCACGTTTATTTAGTTTTTCATTTTTACCCCTGCAAGGCCTGGATTTACATTGACAGTTAAGTTATGTGATTAAAAATATGTTTTAAATATAACTCTAAGAATAACATGTGAAGCACCGGAGGACCTGGCTTCATCTGATTGGGCCGCTGGGTTTCGTCGGAGGTGAGCAGGAATGTGCGAGGTTGAGGTGTTCAAGTTTTATGAGGAAACTGTGAAGACGAGACAAAAAAAAAAAAAAGTCCTGACTGACCAGACTGACCTGTTTTTACACATTATGGAGAAAAGTGGTTGTTTGTCTTGTTCCATGAGCAGAGCCACATGGAGCTTTAACACAGACTCACGTTACTGAAGGTGAAACTAATGAGAGGCATTTAATTCTGGATTGTAGATCATGTGGGTTTCTCAGGTTTTTACACGATACTCGTCTCCACTTCCCCAGAATCTAATGAAACTCGATCGTATCTTGATGTTGAAGTCATTACTGTCGCTCTCATGTGTTCTGACTCAGATTCTGGAGCTGACTCTGCTCATGGCCAGCTACATTAACCACTGGAACCCGAACCTCCCGTCTGCCGCGCACCAGCCGCTCGGCCACTGGGACGTGGACAGCAGGCACTTCCCCGCCATGAACTACACCACCAAGGGCCCCACGCTACTGTGAATTCTGCAAGTAACGAGACTGTCTGAGCACCGGGAGGCTTCATGCCTGTCCGTGTTTTCTCCATTCGTGCAGAACAAGCAGTCTGGGATTCTTTTTCTAAAAGTGTTTCTCATGAAGATTTAGATTGAGATATTTTAGGACTTTTTATTTCTACAACCAGAGGGTTTCAGCTCTGTGCAGTAGAAATGGACGTTATTACAGGTTGTCCGTTGTCATTCTGGTTTGGCTGAAACTCAGTGTTGTGTGTCACTGTAATTATTCTCCATGGATTTTCACACATACTTGACAATGTACCAGAATTTAAATACATGTCGGATCCTGTGCAATTAGAAAGAGACTGATCGTGTTTGCAGTACAACAGATTCGTAGATTTTAGATTCTTCATTTGATATAAATCACACAAACTCAATCTACGACTTCTTTAGGACATAAAACATCCGAGAGTAGTAATAAATGTCTCTCGCACGTCTCCAGAGTCGGGTCAGTGAATTCAAATTCAACCAAAGTCCCAAACAACCCAAAATGATGAATGCACCATCATAGAAAATGTAAAAGATGAAATGTAACACAACAACTGTTATTTCAAGTGTTGTGGGTTAATTTTGTGTCCATTGATTTTT